AGTATTAAGTATTTTTAATGATTATAAATGGAATCTAACAATATAAGGCGTCCCTGGAAAAGATATTCTTTTTAAATGAAACGAGGGAAAAACTATCTTATACACATATGCATAACGGCATAATTAAATGAATATTATAATATATTTTCGGTATAGTTACTATCTTCGTTGTTACAGAACTGAAATCATCATAAAAGCGATCTAAATGTCTGTTGGGATACATCTAACACTTTTACTTATCATTGAATTTTACGATCTCTCTTAATATTTTCGAATGCGTTTGTTTAACCTCTCCACAATTCTATTTAATAATTCGTTAAACACTATTTATTTAATCGGATTTACATTTTTGATATTACTTTGATAAGACAGCTTTTATTTTATTTTCCATTTTTCCATCTTTCTCAAGGACGACCTGTATATGCCTACATATATTTAAGCATGATACTGCAATAGTACTATATTCATAAATTCTGTATCACTCAAAACTTTCTAAAATTTGCACATACATATAAATTAAAAAATAAGAGGAAAGACAAAATTTCTTGAATCTACTAATACCTAAAACTTGTTTACAAAAACAGTATCCATATTTTGTGCACTAATAACAATCGCAGGAGATATTTTTGAATGAATGAAAGATAATTATTTTATATATTGATACAATCGAGTGGAAAAGTATGGTATAAGACAAAGTTGAATACATAAACAAGGATCTTACCAGCTGAAAGTCTTCAATTTCTTCCAATTGATAGATAGAGGAACTGTGGTTATAATTAATAAATTTTATACAGTATATGACAGTCGGCTGGATGGTTTTTGACTGAACGAAACAGGGTACAAACGATTTCGAAGACTTTCTTATCTATGTACACAATGTCACCGTACTAAATACCTATCCTTAATAAGAATGAAATATTGCTACCGCAGCATCTGGAATTAGGAAATCATTTGAGGAAAAAATCAGATTGTAAATGAAATTTTGCAATACTACGTGCAAAACTGATTAAATCGCGAGATAATAATAAGGAAATAATAACAATACAGTAATATGTTTTCATACACATATACGGTGCTCTGTTTTTGTATTCCGCTTCTCTTATGCTTTTACTTTAGCTTATAATAAATAATTATTTCATAGTACAAGGCATAATATAAAGAAGTATTTAGGATACAAATATGTATTTACAATGATATAGCAAAAAAGGAGAAAATATAATGTCTCTATTAAATATATCTGTGATTTGACAATATGTATTTTAATTCTTTTAAAAGATATGTAATCATAAAAATGAAAATAACCGATGATATATATTTTTTTTAGTAATCTTTTGTACATTTTAATAACATGCAACATGTGTACATTATAAACTGTAATTTTAATTAATGATTCTAATAAATTAATTTATAATTGTGGTAGAAGATACATAAAATTTTATAATTATCATGTATTATTTATGATCAAATTATTTAAACAAGAATTCTATTAAAATCAAAAATATAACACATTCTCTGAAATATAAAAGTGAAATACAGATAACAAAACATCTAAATTCGAAGCATACTACGCGTTTCAACTTCATATCTGTACCTAAATGTGTAGAAACATTTTGAAAATTTCGTTAAAGGTTTGAAATGCTAAATTGTAGATAGTAGTAAATTTTGTTCGCTCGGAATTTTTTAAAAATTACTTATTTTATTCATACATACACACTACTTTTAGACATAATTTCATTATGTACCTGCATGTTTCGACTATTTACACGTTTATTTGATCACCGGTTTTTCTGATATTCACAGTTTATCCCTGTTAAAAATATTTCATCTTTCACATCGTTAGAAATATTTCAAAAATTTTACTTTACATTTGAACGATTTTACTCCATAAATAACAACCATTATTTTTTCATGATACTTTCCCTAATAAGTTTAAAAACTTTATTTCACTAAACGAAATCATTAACCAAAAATTCATTTCCATGTAATTTAAAATGTAATACAATACGTTAAACTTTAAACGATATTTCTTTTTGATCCTAACATATGCACTACAGTTTCCACTGTATAGATATGGTTGCAGGAGATAAGGCGTACGCAGACTGTAAGCTCTATGCATTGGAAGATTTGTAAAATACCAAAGAAAATCGATGATACATCACTACAATATTTACGTATTATAAGTGTTCCACCATATATCATGTGTCTTATCGCCCACATATGATACGAATATCCCCTCCAGGATAGATATAGTATATCTATCTATTTTAGAGATTTATATTCCGAAAGGAAACAATTTTGTAAGTTTATGGAAATATTATAACTAGACTACAGATATTTATATAGATCCATATTTATATAAATAGATATTTATATAGATCCAACCATAACTAAAGAAACGGAATCCAAATAATTTGTTCCGCCTAGCAAATGTAATTTTTCATTTTATTTATATCTTTGTTTAAATTTTGTTATGTTTAAAAAAATGAAGAAAAAAGAATGAACACATAGCAATAAAAGCTATTGAATGATTTAAAAGACAAAAAGCAAAAATAGCTGCATGGACTTAAACAATCCTATATGCAGGCAATGTTATTAAAAATTAGGTGATAGACGGAGTTATATTTCTTGCACATTGTGTATCTATGTATTACTGCATCTTCAAATTTTCTATAAATACATAAGCATATACAATCTTTTTATAGTAATCAATTGCTGCATTATCGTTTGTTTATTTTCTTATCTTACTTCCTTAAAGTTTCGTATTTTTAATCTTCAAATACTTCATAGAATTATATTTGATGTCAATAAGGATGATATAAGTAATTGAATAACGATGTATCATACTCTACTTTCTTATCGCAACATTTCAAAGCTGTTGTAGCAGTTGCAATACATTATGGATATTTAAATAGAAATGAAAGTCTAAAATATAAGTTAAATTAAAATATAAATTAAATTAAATATTATTAGAATGTTAACTCTGTACGCTAATACACAGTTATTGTTTATACGTGTCTATCTTTATTCTTTTATAATTTAGTGCTCCAAATATATCGATGTATTAAAAATCATATTTTTAGTCAATAACTTCATATGCTAGATATGATAGCAGTAAAATTGCGTTTCTTGGCGCTTTAAGTAACATAATTAACGCGTTCCGAATACGTTTATCACGTTTCAACGTGATAAAATACAATACATACAGTCTTCGCACGTGATAGATCGTTTGTATGAGAAATATTATGTACACGTTGACATTATTAATATAATTCATGTATATGTACATGCCTTTCTATATTTAATCGTATGGATAATATACCTACTGATATTTTTACTAACCAATAAATAATTTTTTGTAGCCTTTCGTAAATTTATTATTTATTTGAATTGACAACAAAAAATGAATTTCGATAAATCTCCCCTCATCATTTAGTTTAATTAATCTTTAAGTTCAGGGTGAATAATATTATAAATGTTGAAACATTGATTGCGATCAAAGTATATTTGCGGTGCAAAAATAAATTTGCTTTTAAACCGCAGCTAGTTCATACCGCAAGTAATTTAAACCGTTGGTAAAAAATATTCTTAGTGGTCATGTTAATTAATCCATGTAACGTACAGTTACTACTGAAGCTAATAATGAATAATTTAACTGATTTATATAACTCTTTAATGATTAATCACATTGACATTGTTGTCTATAAAATTCTGTTTATATTATTATATTTTTATAACTTTTGTATAAAAATAAATTTGTTGTTATTCAGTTTCTCCTTGCGATATATTTTATTTTTAATTTGTTGTATACATTAGAGGAATAAATTTAGCTTACACATTAATTAAACTTAACATGAATAATCGTAACAATGAAGTCATGAAAAATGCGTGACTTCTCAATATAAAGCACCTCACATTTTAAAAGTGGAGAAATTTTTTAATGTACAAACGGGGTGTTATTCGCTTGTGCTATCAATCTTATTGTAACATGTACATATGGACTTCGCGAGACATAATATGATAAGAATAATAAATAATAAGAAGATAATTGAGAAATTCTTGAAATTAGATCAGAATACAATTTTTCTTTCGTGTAACATGACAGAATAAAATAATTTTTACCATTAAAAATTCAACTAGCAAATGTAAGTTTTATCAGTACGTATGCATCCATAGTAGTTTATGTATTGAATATTCATGTTAGTTGTGTTAGCTATGTTCCTCTTTTAAAGATTGCAACCAGACCATAAAAATAATGCTAGATTTGTAATGCGAATTATCGAAAATGTTTTATATGTAACTGTATCTACGGTTTACTCTTTGAATAAAACAAAGGCGTAAAATTCACATACTTGAATTGTTTTGAATTGTGCAATCAAAGTGTAATGGCAGTAACAAATAAAGAAATTAGAGTAGTATTGATAATAGCAATAATGTCAACTGTGAAAGTGATAAAGCTATCTATTTCTGAAATATTCCATTTTGAACCATTATATCAACATGTATTTCATTTTATTTGAGCATACCTGTTGAAAGATATAGCAATGTAAATATATTCGATATAAAATAGGCATTATCACACACATCCACACATCCACAAATAAACAACCGGCGAATTTATAAAAAAAAAAAAGGAGAATATGAAAAACGACGTCCGTTTCTTCACTTTACTCGTTCTCGTTCGAGAGAACGAAAAAAGTTAGAAAGGAGCAGGAAGAAAGAAATGATTCATGATTATGAAGAAGAAGGATCATTAGTAATCAATCCATCATTGTTATCACCGTTCCAAACAATATGTGTGTATCTTCATTTTAGCCTAAATCGATTCAGTTTTTGATTTAAATTCCTTCTGTAAATGACCGCTACGAGAAGCGTGTTTCTATTAAATGCAAAATGAAACAATATCGCGCGACGATATTGACGCGGATGTTCGAACGTAAAGCTTTGTCAACGTCAATGCACATTCCGCCGGTAATGCTGCGAAAATCGATCTCACCACGCGCGTACAGTGTCGCACTCGGACGAAGTTCACGTAATAGAACGAGGTGTGCACGATGCAACGAGACAGTCAGTTCCGAGACCGAGTATAATAAAAATCGGCTGCGATTCGGGAAACGGAGAACAACGAAGAAATGACACTCGGGAAAACCAAGGTTGGATCGACTGATCGCCTGCACACTAGCCGCGAAACGCGACGAAACGAACGCGAGGCAGCAGTGATCGTGGTCAAACGAGAATAACGAGATATCGGTAATCTCTTGTGTCTGCTCCGCTTCGGGCTTTCGTTCCTTCTCGTTGTCGAACGATCTTCCTCCAGTGTATTCACTTAACACGAACTACGATAAACATAGCAGTGGAAAAGGACGTGTGTGACGTTACGAAGACTTTTCAGCACGCGACATTCGATGTTCACCATCCTGGATGGCATCTGTTCATGATCATTCATAGCGAACGCGATCCGTAAAACGAGAAGACGAAATTTGTGTGCGAAAAATATACAATTCTGTGGTGAAATATGGACAATAGGACGAACTGCTTCTTTCGTCCGACTCTGATTATATTTTTAATGGAAACACGAGTTTTTGAGACCGAATACGATTATCGATATATATCTGTTCTATATTCTGAACTGTCCTTGTAAGTACGCGTTTTCTTTTAGCTTAATTTATGTTTTTTGGACAATTGACTTCATATTACGTTATAATAGTGAAAATGTTATGATAAAATTGCGGATATGTGTTTAATACGGTGTACAATTTGCACATTTTCTTGGATTATTATTTTACGTAATATTTGGCCCTCAGAGATTCACTGAATTAATTCATTGAATCAACGTTAATTCTATATGACGTAAACTGGCATACTTTATACAGTACATTAAGAGAAATATGGTCCTTTTAAAACGATCTTGAATTTTGTAAGATAATAAGAATAGATTAAGTTTAAATAAGAGACATAAAGAAATAAATTTCTAATTTTAAGATCATATTATAAAGTAAATTAAGAGAAGGGGAAACGTCATATTTTTGTACTATCTACATTGACATTCGTTTGATATTAATTTTACTTATAGGAGATATTATTGCCAAAAGGTAACAAAAATTATATTTAAGTTCTTGGCGCATGATTATATTAAGAATTGAAAAGTTTTAATATTTTTAAAGATTGAAAAATTCCAGAGAATCTATTTAACATTTTCGTACATCCGATCTCGACTGTTATTGTACGAAAGGTACATTGAATATTGAAAGAAAGATAATTCATCATATTCAAAATACCTTTTTTTAACTTGCATATTTTTCATAGGAAATAATTAAAAACCTTTTAATATTATTTAAAAAATGTTTGATAAACATTTATGAAGTAAATCTTTCATTAATTACAAAAATTACAATAGTAATTATCTTATTGAATCTATTTTATTCTTCCAATATTTTTTAATATCATTCAACATTTATCATAGTAAACATAATGATCATGTTGGAACTGTCTATTTTATTCGACATCATTTGTTTGCTTATATTTAAGTGCAAAAGGATCGTTACTAAGAGATTGACGTTTCTTATTTTATATTAATCAAACACAAAGATTAACGAAAATATTGGATTTAGAAATGTTAATTAACAAAATGGATACATTATGTGATTACTTTTATTTTTGTTTCATTTTTTTTTTAACATACTGCCTGGTTGTATTGTTTAATTAACATACTGGAAGCCTAATTGTGTGGATGGTAAAAGATCAAAAAGTTGTATATTTAAAGCTATAGGATAAAGCTATAATTTTAAAATACATAAGTAAGTTAATTCATAACGTATATTAATATTATATATAAGTACTAATTTTTGTAATAAATGAATGATATTAATACGACAAATTTTATAGTAAGCGCATTTTATGTTTCGAAACATTCGATCATTCTTCAATTAAAATTTTGGATAAAGATATATTGTGGTAATTTTGAAATATCAGTATATTTATAAAGCTATCAGAACTAGATAGGATAATTATCAGTATTATATTGGTACAATTTAAAATTAACGTTTATAAAATGTTAACCTTAAAGATACATCAAAATTATCACTAATGAATGCACATTATATATTGTCAATTTGCATATGCATTAAAGATGGTGTAATTAAATAACGTAATATGCGTATTATGAGTATATTTGTAATTGCTACTCTTAGCTAATTCATGTTTATAACAAATAATTTGTACTATGTACAATAATTGTGTTATTGCTGTAGATAATATTACATTTTCTTCAAATTCTGATAACATCAGTTTGATTGCTAATTCTTTAAACTTATTGTTAGAAATTGTATATAAATTAAAAATTTAATTTTTTACTTTACACATTCAAATATATTTATGTTTCGGGCGGAACTTTGATATTCACCAAAAATTCTTTCTACTAATAGTATAACCATTCTATACTTGAAATCCTCTGGATATCCGTTTTATATTTCGCGATCGATTTCCTGCGGTTACGTGTCATTGGAGGAATACTGTGTCTCTTTCAAAATACTTCAAAGTTACTTAAAAAACCTTTATCATTCTTGTTTTCGCTTAATTGTTTATGATATTAAAGATCATTCGTTGTTTTTCTTCTTCTTCTGTCACCTTGAACTGTGAAAATGATGAGAAACGAATATGAAAATATAAAATCTAAATAAAACGGAAATTGAGATAGAGAACTCTGCGCATTTACATATTAACAATCAACGTCATGTGCCCATGTTCGTACGCATCAACGTTTCAATGAATCTATGAGTTTTTATAAAGACGTTCGTTTCTCTCGTGCTGTTTAGAAATTATGCTGATGTATGTAACTTAGTTATAATTGTACATAGTATATTTCAGATATTTAAGCAGCCAATCACTATAGGTAAGAGATCTAACCTTTTTACTTGTCGTGTTCCCAATTCACTTCCAAGTTTCATTTTTGGAACACCTGTGATCTATGGAATTTTATAAGAGATATAAAACCTGAACTGTTACGCAAGAGCCAAACGTAAATTCAAAATATGATATGTCAAATTTTATGTCTATAAAAAATATATATAAATTCAGTTCAACTCGTCTAAGAAGAAATAAAGGTGTTATTTTCTGTCTGCTGTCTAGTACTTTCCCGCGAAGGAGCAAAATGTCCAACTTAAGTAACACGTAATTATATTTATTAGACTGAAATTTCCATGATTGTTTTGATAGCAATTATAGTGTAAAATGTAAGTATCACGAGTTATAATTATCTTATAATAACTTGCTGTGTAACAAGAGTGTCTTATTTGCATTTCTACACGTGTGTACAGTATAAAATGTGACTTGAAAGGTGAAATAAATGAAAGTTACAAACAAATGAACGAGTACACGAAGGAGTATAATTGTAGTAATGGACTTTACAATTGTACGGATCATTACCGATCATAAGATAACTATTATATATGTATATTCTCATGGAGCGAATATGTGATTATTTGTATAGCTGCTCAAATGAACGATTAATTAATCATTTTGCTAGGAACGATATAGTCATAACGAAAGAAATAGAAGGTGTTATTTGATATTTTAAGTATGCATAACACGTTATCGAACATTTCTATTTATTATATTTTACATATGTATCGTGCATTTTTGTATTTTCAAATTTCCTGTAAATGCATAAAAATCCACAGTCTGGTTATTACGTCTATTAATATTTCGTTATATTTATTTATGAATGGAAAAAAAAGAGAACATGCTTAATGGTTCTTGCAAATTCTGAAAATAATGGTTGCAGTTGAGAAATATTTTCTTAAATTAAATATAGTAATTAACACGAAAGATAATATTGTATTTCTAACAAACTATGTGCTACGCTTTTACAAATAATTTACTCTCACCTCTGCTTTGTATTTACTTTAATTCTATACATCACTTCACACTTCTTTTACATACATTTACATAATATAATAAAATAATAATGAAATAAAAAATAAATAAGAATAAAATGAAATAATAAAAATTTACGTAGATTAAGCAATTGAAGAAATAGCATTAGTAGCATTAGTATTGCAGTACATTCTTGAAGAATGTACCTGTAAAAAACTCCTCTCCACATAAGTAATGTTAGCTGCAATATTTTTCATTCCTTGAATCGCATGAGACACCAATCCATATTAATACCGTTTCGTGTGAAATTATTTTCTTGTTATGAGTCCTACAAAAGGATGTAACTCGTATTTTTCCATGGGCTGATAGAACAAAGAGGGGCAAACGTGAAACGAATCGGTTCGAGATGGCATTGCAGTAACTTGCCAGTACTTAATCGAAGCAAGAAGTGATAGAAACATCGAGCCTGCCTACCAGACTACGTATCGGATCATTGAGCAGTGAATAAAGAGGCGGTGACTAAACTATTCTGGGATATGGAATAATCAGCGTATGATCGCGACAAGTTCATTTTACTACACGTATTGCACGATATCGGTTAGATTCCTGACAATTCTTGCATGTAACTCGTTCATATGTGGAAAAATAGTTGGAAGCAAACAAGATGAATTCTGGTGACAAGAAGAAGAAAGGGCTTGATGGCGGTTGGGGATGGCTCGTTTGCCTTGGCAGTAGTCTCATCACGGTAATAATATTTATTTATAATTGTTCTTTGGGTTTCAGTATCAAAGATTTCTATGGGTATATTATGCGTGTTCTACAAAACTTTTTGAGATTTTACCTGTATTGTACTGAAACACGACTATCGTAATTATATCGATAAAATATAAAAATATAAAACAAATCTGAAAATGTATGTGGAAATTAAATGTGTGTTTGTTGCAAATGTATATTTCCATTTAGTGAAAAATTAGTATGTAACATAAACGATGGCCTTAAACATATAATTGATGCTAAAGATATTCTCAGTACATATTATGGGTTACTAATATGATTAATTGTTCAAACACTTTGACGATCTTTACGAAATGTATGTTTGTATAAGTCGTTGTATGCATATATGTTATATACATTCTCAGATTCGTTTCTACCAATATGTATAGTTATAAATGTCGTGTCTCATTACACCGCGAATGAAATTTCAAAATATGTTATATTACATAATATATTCTTATCATAAGGCATTACATAATATATTTGTAAGCCGCTATGCATGAACTTTCCGTTTTAATTGTATATAAATGTATATATATATATATATTACCTATTTTTTCTAGATTCTGATATCTACTAATTCTGATATCATTATATCTTTGTTATCAAATCGATTTGCTTATTCAGCCGGCACCTCTGCCTCTGCGAATCAATTTATTCGTAGTTATATGTGTTTATTTCAGCGCGACCTCTGGTGGTTCGGGACCCACCTAAACTGTAAATCTCACATGTCTTGCGATTGTATCAAAATTCATTATTGCTCTGCGAGTACGCATAAAAACGTTAGACTAGTAGTGTCGAAAAACAGATATTCATGTGCCCCAGAGTACTAGAGCTTTTGTACGCGAATACCACAATGTATAACTCACACAACAACTGTGTGCTATATAAATCAAAATAGTCGCTAATGAGCTCACAGTTTATGCGATTAAAATAAGTAACGCAAACAAATCGACTTACCGCCTTTGTGCTTTTAGTTTCATAAATCTCATTGATAGGTAACTTCAGGGCCGGCGCAAGGTAGGTTCAACGCGTTCGCCGGAATCCGGCCCCGTGTTTTGAGAGACCCCGCGGTCTACAAAAATTACCCAATTAAAAAACATCGATTTCGATTAACTTTTTACAGAATGATGATACCATTAACAGATGCAACACATTTTTTTTAGTAGCGTTGATTCAGTTTAAAGGAGTGAGAAAAATCATAAAGGTTCAGTGTAACTCCATAAAGTATATCATATCCTGGTAACTACTTTAGATAAAAAAAATCCAGGCGCTATCAGAGCAATGTACTTTTTAGAGAAATTAAACTACATCAATAGTTTGTTGCAAAAATCATACGTGATTACAGATTTTCTACTTTCATTGAATTTGTTGCCCCTTGAAAACGAATTATGCATGCGAAAAAATATTACTTGGATTTGTTTAAAAAACTGCTTATAAAAAATATATAATATGTAACAGAAATTGTAAATAAATAATTTCTCGTTGTAAAATTTAAGTGTAAGATTTGAATGTGTATTCAGGCTGCGCAAAATTTTTGAACCCGGCCCCGCAAAATGTCACGCCAGCCCTGGGTTACTTCGTGCAATTTTGTTGCATTAATGTTACATGGTATTGACTTTAGTGTTATATGAAGATACATTTAGTAGCTATTATATACTATGTTGTTTAATATACATATATTATGTATGTACTAAATATTTAATTATTAATTACTATGTACTAATTATTTAAAACTATGTACGGAATATTCGAACATTTTTAAAAGCTATTTATGTATACATACATATGTTAGACAAAAAATCTTGAAATGACATTAAAACTATAACGAGACACGACTGTTCTGATTATATTGGAAAAATTTGAAATGGACCTGATAATACATATATAGAAAATATGTAAAAGTTGCAAAATATTTAATTAGAAGCATATACTTCACAAAGATGACCGAAGTACTCGTATAGCCAGTTATTCAGTATATTAGTAAACTACAACATGTAGTAAGATCATTTGTAGCACTAATTGTATACTTAAAATTACTATTTATGCAGCGCATCAATCTTCCACTAAATGTACATATATATATTTGTCATAAATGTATTGTAATTTCTATATACATTTGCGAATTGGTTTCAAATTTTACTATTCTAATCACGATAGTGGTATCTCATTATAATGCCAATAAAGTATCAACGAGTTTCGTATAACGCTCATAATAATGTATTCACAAAAAAATTTGGTAGTAAATGTTCGAATATCTTTGAGAGCTGTTGTATATTTAGCTATCTTGTTTATTTTAAAAACATCTGTATCAACAATATGATCGACTTTTCATTTGCAAATATGATTTGGATATTATACGATTGTGTATCCTTCCAACTTTCTAGTTAAGGATGAGTACATCTTAATAATGGCGTAAAAGTTATTGCACAAATTTGAATAAATAAATTAGTCAGGAATATCAATATTTCGGAGTATAAGTATAAATAATAATAGTAAAAAAAATTATTCTTTTTATTTTGAATATTTATTTTTCTCCATTAAAATATATTTATGTTACATAATATAATCGCGCCAAATCACTTTAAAAATATTAATAAAAGTGCGCATGCACTAGTAGTACTGAAAATGTATAAAAAACTCCCAATATGCATAGGAGACTGATAATTATTCAACGTGATGAATATTTACATGTACATTTTTATTCAAATCTACAAAACTAAAGTGACGCTTTTATGATAATTACCTTAACACAGAAAATATGTAATACATAATTTTACAAATTTGGTTTTCAGCTTTCTTTAAGATCTTTGGATCCCTCGTTTGGACTCCTTTTCCACGACCTCTTTATAGAACTTGAAATTGACTCCACAGGAGCGTCATTCATAATGAGCATTCTTGATGCTATTGTTAATTTCTCAGGTATTAAGGAAATACGCAAATAGATCTAAATACAATATAATTTGTTTACATATAACGCCAATTATTGTTTTATAATTACGAGTAATTATAAAATATATATAGTGTTATTTTCTACATTAGAAAACATAAATTTTTTCATTAATAATTCATAAATAATTGTCATTAGAGTGATTTCTGATATTTAATTATACCGTATGTTGATCTATAAAATAATTATATTTTATGTATTTTTTATTTAAATCAAGTTTACCATAATTTACCATAAATTTAATTTATTTTATTGTAATTCTTTTTTGTTTGATTATAATTTAGGTCTCTTAATAGGACCGTTATTGAAAAAGTATTCTTATCGACAAGTGGCATTCTTTGGATCTCTTTTAAGCTGTACTGGACTGATATTGACGTCGAGAGCTAATAGCATGTTCCATATTGTTTGCACTTATAGTATTTTAGGAGGTATGAAAACAAGATAAGCCTTTGGATTCTAATTTGCTAATTACATGTTTTTGCACGTAAATTTTATATTTACATTATATATATTTTTCTGGATTGGTCTCTCGTGTATATACATATGTATAACCATTTACATAAGGTTAATGCATATGAAATACCGTTGTTTTTCAGATAAAATATCATAACAACATAAAAATTATACGTAGTTTTTACACATCACATTTTAAACATCATATATTTCATCAAAATGATTTTTATTTTATTATTTGCAGACTTTTTAACAATCAATTAATTTCATTATCCCGACTTTATAAAAATTATAGTTCTAAAATCCAAAAATTTTTCTATTGCTACTTCTACAATTCCTTTACTTGAAAATAATGTAAGTTTAAGCAAGATTTCAAGATTTTAGTTGATTTCTATTTGTTTATTAAATAAAAGTTGTTTTATTAATAATTCTACATGTACTTCATCGATTTATTTCTAATATGTTTCTGCCGTAATTGTAGTTTTAGATTACAGAGAATGATAATAAATAAAGAATAATATATGACTATCTACAAAGAAAGCGACAGTTTTGGCATACATTTTGCTTCTTCATCTTTGTCAAGATCTTATCTTAAATGTTTTCAATCCTGACACATGGCAATTTGTTTTAAAACTCGATGCTATTTATTTCTTTCAAATTTGGTGATTACATCCATTCTGTTCAGTTTCTGTACATTAATTAACACATCTGTCTACCTTCTCTACTTTATCCTTAGTTTTTCTTATTTGAACCATATGAGGAATATCAATGGAATGACCTACTTTCATTTTATACACTTATAATACCTTGCTGTTTCATGAACTATTTCCTTGTAATATGTAATTAATAATAATAATAATATGTAATATAATATTATATTATATTACCATTGCCTGTATAAATAATATTTCCGTAATATGCCTTATTTTCAAACGAAAAATTACTCTTTTCCAATTTCAAGAATCATTGTACTAACATTATTATTATATAACAATTGTATTATTGTATAACAATTATATAACAAATGTACTAACATTTATATCCATTTGGAAATCAAAAATTCTCATTTTTTACAAATTCTACGATTGTTTTCCCAATTTTAATTTCATATAAATTTAATCGTTTCTTAAAGATCGCTTATAATTACATTTTGGCATTTCTTCTAGATATTTTATTCGTATTTGGTTTATGTATAATATGAAAAATTTTTCCCTTAATGTAGTTAATAACTTCTTAAACGTTTTAAACATTTTAATTTTTTAAACTCAATATATCTAACATTTTAATGCGGTTATTTATAAGAAATGATAATCAATGTTTTTATTCATAATAAATAATGAACAAATATACCTCGTTATGTTCATTTGTTGTTAAGTATTACTATATTTACTTAATTTATTTTGATATACTTATGACAGGCTTAGGAACTGGACTGGCCATTGCATCAGCGTTCGTGGCGTTGAATACATTTTTTGAGAAAAAAAGAGGACAAGCTGTTGGCTTTTCTATGGCTGGAACAACTTTGGCCATGATGATAGTACCTCAGGTACGAGATATTTTTGTTTTTAATTGTTACATTTTTAATTATATAACATTTTTAATATATTTTCTTTATACCATATTTTATATCACATAATAGTTTCAACCAGATTTGAAATACGATATATCCCTACAAACTTTTCTGTAATCTTTCTAAATACATAATACGATAAGTTATCTTCTATAAGAATGATTTCAATAGATGTATGATTCAGATAATTGTAAAAATTATATTCATCGATGGTTTCTCTCTCCTCTTATAGTTAATTCATCTTCTTTTGAATTCATATGGATTTCGTGGAGCGATGTTAGTGATTGGAGGATGGGCGTTGCATTCCACTATTGGCGCTTGTTTATTACGTCCATTTGAATCTGAAATTGAAAGTACAAATGCCGATACAAAGGTAAGATTATATTACTATTGAAATTTAATATTATGTTAGATCTCATTGAAAATTCAACGTAATTTGTGATGCAAATATGTACATATAAAAACAGGAAGTTTTGCACTATAAAATAAATTAGAATTGCAAAATTCCGATTCTTTTTGTTTAAAGTATGAAAGTTTTTTTTCTTTCGATAATACCTTAAAGGTTTGGAGACTTAGAAATTTACTAAGCTAAATTAGATTTGATCAAAAAGATTTAGAGATATCAATCTGTTTGATTACTATAATAACACCCGAATTCACGAAATAGATTCACTTGAAATTGTTTAACTGAAATAGAATTCCCGTGTCATTTTTATTTTTTGATCCTATTATATCTTTCAATTCACCGTTTTGCATTTCGAGTAATTCTACTATACGAAGATTGAATGAAAGAAAAGAACAGATTAGTTGACAATGGCTTGAAAGGAGTTTTAGTGCTGAATAAATAATTCATCAAAGTCACCTTTGTACTCTTTATAACATTTCCATGGAACTATTACCGATGAATCTTTCTGCAAACAGAAATAAGTTCAAATATGATTTCGTTTAAATATTATAGTATTTTGTTTTACGCCAATTTGAATTACTATTTCTTCATTCTTTTAATAATATTTGGTTTATAAAATAATTCTTGAGAAAATTTTTATAATTGTTAAATTACATGTTAACGATAATTAATTATTAAATCATTTTAAAGTAGTGTTGTATTTTTCCATTTCATCTCAAAATGTTGGAAAGTGAAATATATCATATTTATTAATAAGTAGTAATATAATATCATTTGTTTAGTAATTGTTTAATTTTTCTCATGGGAGTTTGTTACAGTTTTGACAATTGGTCAGTTATTGTTTTTTTACTGTGTTAAATTTTTTTACACTTTATATCATCTTATGCCAATCAAAATGAATAAAAATTTGTCGAGGCTGTTTAATAAATAAAGTGACTGATGTAATAGCTTCTAATAATACTCTTTTATTGTCACAAATATTTTTTTATTCTGTGTAATATTTTCAACGTGTGCGACCAAATATTATCATAAATTGAAACATGAATGTCCAGTTTATTAATATGAATTACTTCCTTGCTGATGCTATTTGTCACTTCCTTAATTTCTGTTTCTAAATTGCAGCGATTACCATTCAAAGTACAAAATAAGAAACGATATAAATTATCGAATAATTGGATGATTGAACAAAATTGTATTTAAATTTCTTTTTATCAGAGAAATTTTAGGAATTCAACAACATTAGCTTCATAGATTTAGAAACAAATATAAAACTTCAAATTTCTATTATCCAATGATAATTGAATATTGAATTAATATTTCACTGTCATCGACTAGTTATTCGAATATGAAATATAATTTGTCGTTGTTCGTGTTAATTCATACAGTAAAGATATGGTGGGTTGACTACACGTTAAGCGGAAATAAATATATATTTAATCATTTATCTAGAATCCATCGTCAGGCATTTACTCTTACCATTTTACACAGTTAATTCATCAAAGTGAAGGATCCGTGTCATCTAAGATTGACTCATACCATGATGATTCAATTATTAATGAATTCTAACTCCACGTTTGTTCTAACTCATTTCTATTCTAATTCAATTCTATTCTAACTTCTGTTCAAATCCCTTTTTTCAAAAAAAAATCAATCCACGTATATTTCATTGGTATAAAGGGTACAAATTTATGAAAATATGAACCATGAAAATTCTATTTAGAAATTAACAAATATTCAACTCTAACTCCAGGCAATAATATTAAACTTCATAAACTTTGAACTCAGTATTCCCAGTTTACAAGCTAATGGAGATAGAAAACAATTAAGAACTAGAGTGACGGCATATGCACATATTTCATCTTATTGTTAGAAAAACTTTGTTAATTGAATTATTGATTTTTTTACAATGAAAACGATATAATTATATTTAAATGATATTGGAAAAATAAAGAGCACCTTATGTATCGTCGATCTGCTGAAAGCGTGACACGTAAATTATTATTATTGTATATTATCTTTATTCGTATTGTTTATTGCATTCTCACTTCCCCACAATAGATAGTTCGAAATATAAAATTGTTAACATTTTAATGTCATGCTTCATATCATTACATATCATACACATATACTACATATCATTATGTTTGGTCAAAATTACATACGTAAAATTACGTAAAGCACTTCTTTTTCACACATTTCTCTAAAAATCAATGAGCCCTAAAGGAGCAATATATGAGATTAATATATTATCTAATATTAATATTGGGAATTTAGCAATGAAAAAATTTGTTAACTTTTAGAATTCAGATACTAATCTTTGAATCGTAAAGGTCTGCAGTTATATTGTTCCTGTATTATATATATTGTTATATATATTGTAAGTATCTTAAGATTGACAATTTTTGAAATGTGCCATTCTCCTAGCAAAGTGACGATACCTTTCATTCAGTGTTCATTGAAATAAACAAATGGGGCAAAAAACTTCCTATTTTAGTGGAAATTTGTTGCAACGAATTACGTTTAGTTTCTAATAATATCTAGTCTTATCATTCGTAAATTTGTATTATGATCTTGAATAATATTCTCATTTGATAAATATCGATGACCTAGGCAAAAAAAGAAAAAGGAAATTAATGGACAATTATTACTTATAACAGCATAGAAATAATTCAACTAGAAGTGACATGTTATTACAAGTAGAAAACAATGGAATGGTGAAGGACGTTAAATGTGATACAAGTGATTCCGAGAATAATATGCTGGAGTATAATAAAACGGAGAAGATAAAAAAGAAATCTCAAAATGAATATCTTAGGAAGATAAAGGAAACCTTTGATTTGGACTTACTTAAAGATGGCATCTATCTAAACATAGTTATTGGCTTGAGTTTATATTATGTTGCTGAATCGAACTTCAAACTAATGACACCATTTTTTTTAACTAGCATACGTAAGTAATTCTTTAAAGATGAACTTAAGTATGATTGGTACTGTAGCAGAGGATGTTGTTAAAAACTATTGAAATTTATATAAAATGTTTTAATATCGCATTCGTTTAAATATTTAATCTTTGTACAAATAAGTTAATAAAGTAATAGATATATTAAATATTTAATATAAGGACTAGAAATATTGTATTGATAAAAATAGTAACAATAATATTGCAATATATAACATAGTAGGAAAACGTTTATGCTTTATGTAACATCCTAGCTACGGTACACAGTGGAGCGAACCCCGAAAAAACGTGACAAATGGTCAAAAACTTGATTATAGAATTTCTAATAAAATATTATTAATCTAACGGCATCATGTGTTGCGAGTATAACATACTACATATCTAATATATGTATGTTATAGTTTAAGGACTATAAAGTGATATACCATAAATACATAAATAAATAAAAGAAAATGATATTATGAATAGAAAAGTTTCATAAAACGACTTTCATCAAAATATTATAATGAATATACCTAATCTTAGCAGTAAATGAATTAAATAATAGTTTAATAATAGAGTGGGTTTAAAAAAAACTGTGAAACGCCGAAATCAATTTTTCGATCGTTTATCGCGTTTTTCGGGTTTCGTTCCACTGTGCTCCATTTTTTAGGATATCGGTAGACTTTTCGAAGGAACTTGGTCGACAGGAATGAGCAAAGCGGAAGTTGCCTCTTGTTTGTCGATATCTGCATTCACCGACATTCTTGCCCGCCTTTTACTACCAACCATTTTCGATAGATTGGGATTGAAGAACAGAACCATCTTCTGGATTTTCTGTATTCTAGTTGGAATTGGACGATCTAGTATGTACTTTGCATTTATATCTACCATGTTCTTTTCACATACAAATACTCCATACGCATATAAAGTTTGTACGTTGCCATTAATGATACTTTGTATACCAAAGAAACTCAATGTCAATATCGAGAAGCATGAGAACAATAATTAGTAATGCAATAGTAGCAAATATAATTAAATCGATATATTTTCAATAGTCAGAAAGAATAGCAACATGCCTTTTGATAAATTACATTTGTAGGTAAAATTATGTAGTAGGTATTGGTAATGATTAGCATACTTCTTTATATATATTTTGCACATTTAAATTTTCCATAAATGCATAGAAATCATCAATCTAATAATAATCTATCGTTAACTTTGATGCGAATTCCCAACTAAATAGCGATCGGTCAGATTCAACCGATCGGTTGATATCGCGAATTTCGAATCAGTTAACACTCAAGGTAGAAGTAAATTGAATATATCGAGTGTTAGTATGATTTGGTACTTTATTTGCACTTTTAGTATACACGAGGAGTTTGACGTTCTGATCACGACGGTTGTACGATCTTGTTGAAACTGAATACGATGTAGTATCACACGAACGGTACGACACTCTGATGAAGAGTGTTCTTGTTGTTGCTCTCTCCACCAGAAGCTTCGTCTCGTTAAGGTTTTGCAGCTTGGGGAAGTAAACAATTCGGACTTTCTTAAAAAAGGGATATGTATCGTCCGAGTCATAAACTGACGGCCATTCCAAATCCCAAACAAACTTAAAGCAATAAATAACATATCGCTGGTTCTGTGAAACCCAATATTCTAATTAAAGGATACATATCAAAAGTGGCTCCTTCAAATTTTTAAACTTTTCAGATAGTAACACATACCGTTTTTATTAGAAGCTATATAAGCTCACAGCATGGTGGAATTGATATTACAAAAAAGAAAAATGATCTATATCTTGATTCCTTGTCATATTAAAATTATGCGATTCTAGAAAAAGCTTTGGCGTGAGGTCGACATGATTTAATTAGACATAATTCTTTTGTGGTACAATTTCAGAGTTGTGGTACACTCATAAGAGTTATGTAATATAATGAATAAAATTAAAATTCATTAACAATAGGTAAAAATTAAAGATACTAGAGTATCCCTTGGCTCTTTTATAGAAAAATAAACATGAACAAACACCTTTTTTTGTTATAAGTCTTTAAATTTTCTTATAGTTCTTCCAGTATTTAGATAATTTTCTTATAGTAGAATCTTTCTTTTTATATTTTTCTTTTTATGCAACTTCTTGTTACTGGAACTACATGCATATTTTGAATAGATATTTACCATCAAAAATATTAATATTGTTCCTTCATTTTTTCTAATTTCTGTTTATCATACTTTTCAGTTATGGCAGCGCAATCTAAAGGAGTACTTTTGATAATAACATTCGTGATAATAGGGTTTTTACGTGGCGCCACTTTGGTAAATTTAAACCTTACCGTTTCCGAATATTGTCCTTTAAACAAGCTGCCAAATGCCTTTGGGATGTTTATGGTATTTAAAGGTTTATTCGTTGTAATGCTGAGTCCTTTAATTGGTAGGTCTTTAATAATTTAATTTAATTAAATCCTAATATATATAGAAGTCGAAATATAGAATAAAAATTTTTCGTTTGAGGCTTTATTTTTGAGAAAATCGACTTTAAATTTTCGCTCGGTACGCGTGCGGTACGTTATAACGGATCTCACTGTAGATCGTTGTCTCAATGGAAAAATTAAAAAAAAATTTTTTTTCTATATTTTTGACTTCTTTTTTCGCGTAGAATCATCCCCTTTCCGCTTGTATCACCAGTTACCAACCACCCTGTATATATATATATATGATAAGTTAGTAAAAGAATATAAGTCGAATTTTGGATAAAATATTGTAGGATATGTACACTAATATACTAATCATTCCCTTCATAATTGAAATCAATTATAACATCTTATATGAAATCAGGGGTTTTAATACTTATAGAGGGGCATGCATAAAATCATATATTCACGAGGGAATAGAGCAAAATGTAGAGACGTAAAATTAGTTTATGACATTATTTAATATTATAAAAAAGATATATTATACGATAATATATTATACTATTAAATATGATGGAAACTTTTTATGTTAATCAATTTTTATTTTTATCTTAGGATACATCAGAGATGTCAGCGAAAGTTATGCACTTTGTATACATGTTATGACACTAATGATAAGCATCACGTTCATTACATGGAGTATCGAGTGTATGTATAGGACATTTAAAAACAGGAAATCTGTTTTAGCTAAACAAGCACAAGACATCGTGATAGAATAAGTATCACTTAGGATTTAATATTTAGCATTTTCATAAGAACTGGTAGAACACAATTTTAAATTCAGACAAAACTTCATCTAAATAGGTAATGGATATTTATTATGATTTGACTAGCAAATGAACACTGCTTCATCAAAATATTCTATTATTTATATATTTGAGTATAATAATATTTTATCGAGCGATGAATATTTGATTATTGGCGCATTATTTATTATGAAAATTTATATTAATATGTTAATTAACTTATACAAAATATTTCACAATACTGTCTGCAGCTTATAACTGTTTGCAATATTTGCAAGCATGAATATTGTATTCAATAATTCCGTCTCTTATATTTTGTTTACTTTTAGCAGTTTAGATTGCAAGCCTTGAAATACTTTTGTAAGTAATTTTACAAAAGTAAACATTAAATACTAGATAATGTTTTAGTGGAGATAGATGAATTTTTCGTTTACGTTATATAATCACTAATATACATCACATAGTTTCGATCTAATGCAATATTATTTTTTTAATAAGAAGCTATTTTTAATAAACGTAACTCCTTCTTTTTTATTTTTATCTTTTTTTTTCTTTTTCTTTAAGATCGCATTCACTTGTAAGTGTTATTATTATTATTAGTGTACCATAATATCATTAGTACCATAGTACCTACATAGTTGCATTATATAGGCTTGCATTATACTATATTAAGTTCGTACGTCCTTAGATTATCGTAGATATGTACAATATTTACATTGTTATAAAGAACATTTATGTATAATAGATGCCAATTAGGGGTGAGTAGCGTAATACCGATCGTTCTAAGTTCTTTTTGTTACATCTTGGGCTAGAGTCGGTAAAAAACAACATTTTTCAAATGAGTTTACGATACAAGTGGTATTTAACGAAGGGAAAGAAAAATTAATTTTATGGAATTCAATAATAAGAATAAATAATTTGCAAGAGTAAAAATGTTATGATTTGTAAAAAACGAAAAATTGTCGTCCAGTACCGAACAATTATTTAATCAGTAGATTTTTCGGTCTAAATGATTAATAATATTAAAAGAAAACATTTATATGTTAGAATACATTTTTTTATTCAAATATTATCTTTACATATATAAAAAGTAAAATAATCAATATTTTTTTGGTCTGTGCATTCGACATGTGCCCAGCCTTCATATTCGTTGCTTTTTGAAACATTGAAAGCCTCAGCGTCCTGTTTCTGGATCATTTTATTTTTGACACTTCAAAACATCATTTATATTCTTTTCTGTATATTTTCCTTTTCTCTACTTTGAAATATCGGACATTTTCCTGCGGGAGAACGTACAAGAAAGATTAAATGAATACCTTTTAATTTAATTTCAGTTGCTAACAAATTGAACTTACAGATAGATAAAATTTGGAACGTATTGGTTTATGGCTGATTCGTTGGTACAGGATGACAAACACGTGGAAACGTTTTAGATCATAATGTATATTTATACATTACATGGAATTATTATATTCATTTGTTTATTCAAATAAAAGTGCTAATATCTGGTAAAAAAGGTCAATACTAATTTTGATCGCTGTATGCCGGTCGATACTGCACGACTCTCCTCTACAGATTAGTTGAAGAAGGTTTGTGTCTTTTAGGAACCTGTCAGTATTGCAACTTCTACGCGTGTATCCATTGTTATATAACATGCAAGCTAGTTTATCTTTGTGATATTTTAAATGTTGATATCCTTAAATTTAGTTTTGCTGTATTATACAGGATACTCCACTTAGCATGGTCGGCTGAAAATTATGTTGTTGCTAAATTTATCTACATTAGTAAAATTTTGAAACTGATCTAACTATTCATATATTTTGTGAACCTCAACATGATCTCATAAAACTAATTTTTGTATCACTTAAAATAATAGGTATATTTCAGATGATCATGTTAAGTGAGGTAGGCTATTCATTAATTTTTGTCATATGTTTTATATGAAATTTTCTAATATAATGTATAATTTATGTTACTTACAATATGACAATCGAATTTAAATTTTTAAACTTTATTTAATTCGTTTATTGGAATCTTATTAAAAAAAAATATGTGTATATGTGTATTACTAACTATTTATATATTAGTAAATACCAAAACACGTGTAAATATTGTAACTTATCATAGTGAATTTAAAGATTAGATATTTCTTTATTCGAAATAGCCAAACACGTCGAAAGGAAGTGCAATGAAAGTCGAAAACTGATGTGATCTTTGTATTTACAACTAATTTCAAATTAAATATATTAAAGTATAACGAACACAATTAATAATGTTTATATAAATGCTATGATGTTAATCATAGATTTCATGTTATTATTCTCATAATGAGATGTACCTGACATTTTGTATATCGTAGGGATCTTTCATGCACCTAGTTTTGGAGCACTTTTGATGAGAATTTAAAGTGAAAGAATTAAGAAAAATTGTCGCAATCTATTATAATATTATGACGAAAATTAACTGCTAGTCGATGTATTGTATCTATACATATCTTCCTACCTCTATAGACAAAAACAGTATGTCGAATTTAAATTGTTATTGTAATTAAAATTATATAAACTTCCTAATAAAGAAAATAAATATAAAACACACCCAGAACAAAATTTATTTCTATAAAATATCAATATTGTTTACATAAATAAAATAACATTCTTCGTAGATTTAAAAATACATACAATGCATACAATATAATAATATATGTATATACTTAAGTACAAATACATACAGAATTACAGAAAATAATATTTCTTTTCATTTAAAATGAAAATAGAAATTCATATTTAAATATAAAGTTCTTAAATGACAATTCAAAACTCTATTTAATTGAAAAAGTCTGAAGAAGAGTATTTCTTATTACAATTAAAGCGTTTTAATCTCTTAAATTTGTAAATATTTCCGGGGACATATTTATTCAATACATTTGTATATAAGAACTTTGAAAAATCTTACTGCAATAAAGCTCAAACTATTTTGTAATCTGCTATTAGAAATTATTCACTAAAAATTTATATCAACAACATATTTATGAATACATACATTCCGAAAATATTTTCTGGCACATAACAAACATATATAATATATTCGTCTTTGCTCTTCTAAAATATTTCTATTTATCTGTTTTAATATTAACGTAAATAATATCAAGACTAAGCGTTGGCTTGTCAGATATAAAATTGTTGCTTTTTCTGTTTGTCATTTAAGAGTTTTAGACATGTAGAATCCTAAAATGTAAGTCTTAACTTTAGGAATCCAGCGGTTCAAAAGTTACACGTATGTAAAGCTGAGCGTTTTTAGCACGTTTTACACATTACTTTGATGCCTCTGATTTTGAGTGGAGTTGCTAGCGTGTACAAGTGCACGTGGCTGGTGGCCATATAGGATAAGTCAAATGTTTCTATGTATTTGCATGTGTATTGCAGATGTTTGGCTTGTTGGCCTAATATGATTCAGTTGTCTTGCAGAATGCAGGTAACAGCTTCTTTCAGTTTATGCAATGCGTTCGGAGTGTCTACATGTGTTTTCTAAATTCTTTTGCGTTTGTTCTCATTTTATTTTCTTTCTTTTAGCTTGTTCTCCTTCTGCTATTTTTGTTGTTGTTGTATGTTTTTATATAATACGGGATATGCAAAGTGGAATTTGTGTAATTTGCAACTTCAAAGGGAGCGACTATTATTTGCATAAACGGATATGGCCTTTTGCGCACAAGAAAAAATTGATCGGTTCATGGAAAACCGATGAAATTGTATAATCGATCAGAAAACGAAGGCGGAATTGGACGTTTTTATCGCAATATTGGTCAAATTAAGTGTAATTCCGGCTACAGTTGATTCAGTTTCCAAGAACGCGAGGTTGCCTTTAGATAAAATCATCAAGAGATTCCTCTGCTTTATCAAGTAAAACAATCGTCGCATGGTTTCAGTAGAGATGATAGTGGACCATTTTTAATTAGGGAAATTAGGGGGAATTTCAGAATCAAGCTGTACGATTGATGTTCAAGTAAGTTATGTAACAGTTCGACATTTTTCTATTTTTGTGTTACTTATTTTTCCACCTGAATGTTGCTATTTTTATATGATTTAAGAGTCAGGAAAATTTGCTTTCTTGTTTCAATTTGGGAATATATGCTGACTCCACCTCTGCTTTGACCGATCTATATTATGGATTATATTTCGAACTCATAATTTTCTCCCGCCTTTTCCCCTTACACCTATCTCTGCATTCACATTCTAGATTCTGCTACATTCTCAAACCCGCATGCATACCCCATTCTCTCCTCACGTTCCGTCTCTCTAACTCCCACTTTGATCGTTCCATATTTCCCTTATTAGTTTTGTTCCTAATTTCTCGTGAATACAGTATCTTAAGTCAATAATAAAGAAATTATATATTTCAAAATTAAAATAGACTGCATAAATAAGCTTAATTACTTTTTAAGAGAGATTGTACAGAGAATTACATAAATTGGATAACTGTAATCTCGACTTCAACTTTATAACAGTTGCAAACATACAATGATGTAATAAATAATATGATATAATCGTATTACAGTTTATCATATTATGGATAATATATTTCTACACACTACACCCTATCTCAAATAACGTAATAATTTTATTGCGTAATAATATGATTAACGATAATCACTGTTTTGGAACTTATATTTTCTTCTAAGTCTTAATTAAGCATTTACAACATACGTGATAATGGAAAAAATTACTTGCTAATTATTCAGAATATCATTTCGCGTTTATACTTTGATTATTCGTGCGGTAAAGCACGTAGAACCGCCAGCTTCAAGCTATTTGTGGCAAATCGGCAGCGTTGGAGGAACGGAGATATAAAATTCTTCCGTCTCATAAAAAAAAGACACATACATATGTATTTCTCCGTTCCTCCAGCTCGCCATTGTTGCGGCAATTTGCCGCAAGCCACTCGTCTGAAGCTGGCATAATGATGCACGTAAATGAAGCCACAAGTCAAAGACCAGACTCGGCTTAGAGTCGAGTCACGAAGCCGGTTTTTATCGGTTGACTTCCCTTCATCGAGCCAGTCACAAATAGTCCGCAGCTCTGTTCGGAGTATATGTTGCTTATTTTTGTGCCTCACTCGAGCCAGGAGCTACCAGTGAAAAGTTTCCAAGAATGCGTTCGACCAGGAAATACGGTAATTTCCAATAGGAAATTGTATTCGTTGTAGTTTCAGTTATCGTAGTTGGTAGTTCATGAAACGTTCATGAAACACGTTTTTAACAGTGATAATAATCTAAGTGCGAATTACAATGTAATCGCTTGATGTATCGTCATAATTCAAGCAATGCAACGAGAAATGAGAAACTACGTTTTATTTCAAAGAAATTGTAAGTCTATTCTCCTTTTCATTTTCTCTGATTTCCGTTTTCTGTCACAAATTTTGTTATGTTTTTCTATAAATAGTGAGTCACAAGCCAGTTTTTTCATAAATTCATGTATGCTCAAATGTTGTGCATATACAAAATTTGTTTCTCTTCCCTTTCATTTTTGTATTGTATTGTTACTGCATCACTTGTACTGTACCGTTAAGAACACTTCTATGCGTTCACAGCAAAGTAAGTGATGATAATTTCGATTATTCCTGTTTTCCGAAAATCGAAAATTGTTTTGTATATTCGTAGCTAAAATTAGTTTATTTAATTTCAGACATCTTTTTGTGTATTGTTGTTGTGTTTGTATATTATTTTATTATTGTATTGTATGTATATACACGAAGTAAAATAAGGATTACGAATTTACTAATTTATTTTACATTTGTTTCAAAACTACACTGAGTCAAACATTTTACCTTATTAACAAATTAATAAATCACAGAAACTGTAATAATTTTATATATGAAATATATATTATTGCTATACATTGTTACACTTTTGATTATAAATAATTAATTTATCTTGGTTTATCTTCTTAGCTAAATAATCTTTACTTTTTAAATTTCATTTATCATTGTTTATTTATTTTATTATTTTATTATAATTATTATTAGTCATTATTTAAAAGAATAATGTCACGAATTATTAAGAGAATCGGACACATCTAAATGTAAGAAAAATATTAATATCAATAATAAAATATAAAACAAAAATATCAATAATCAGCGAGTTAGGAGGTCCTGTATGTCCTTTTACAACTGACATGTCCATAACTTCCTTTCTATATAACCAGAATCTTTTATCTATTAATAATAAAATTTCATACATCGTAATGTCATCGAATTTCTATAAACAAAATATGTTTAAATAATTTAAAAATTAGTATACATCTCGTTATTTCATCTTGCCAATAATTTCTATAAAAATGATATACACTTGAATTTCATTTTCTTTGAAATAATTTAATTATCAATTACTTCTCAGTAATCCGAATATAAATTATACTTTTTATTGTTACTTATTATGAAATAATTCATAATGTTTGTTAAGAATTAATTATTTTTAATATCTGTTATATCATAGATTACTAACGTAAACAAAATTTTAAAAATATTTTAAACGTTCCCTTAAAATAATTAAATCTTGAACTCAATCCCTAGCAATAATGCAATTACGTATTACAAATCGTACGTTTTGAATTAAAAGGCCGTTCCTAAATCAACATTTATTAAATATCTTGCTAAAGAATAAAACGCATAATTCAATTCAATCCAATTGAACGCTTGAAGCTAAGGAAAAGTATTATCAAGTGGCCATTTTCACTTGGGACAAATGCTTACCTAGTTGGACAAACTAGTAGTAACGGGGCCATCAAACCATTATTAAACAATAGGCTAAAGTAGGATACATGATGAAGAATTTTATTCTTTGTAATTGAAGCACTTGTCATTAATATCATCTTATCGCGTTTAAAAGCTTGCGTTTCAGATTTTTTCACTCCACCCATAAGTACCTATCAACTAATATATGTATAACTGTCTAATATCTATCTTATCTATCTATTTTAGAGATTCTGAATTTATTTAAGAAACAAAAGATATTTATTGGATCATAATGTTCTATTTTAAAATTAATAGTAAATTAAAAATTAATTTTTTAAAATACGAAGTTAAATAAATCATATAAGCATGTTCAAGTAGTAATATTCATCAGAATTTTTTTCAATTATATTTTGTGATTATACTATTATAGACTCATAAATTTTATTTGTACAAAATATTATAGTACTGCTAATGCGAAATATGCTTATATCAATGCAAATACTTTAAGAGTGTATTAATAATCTTTTAATACAATATAACTTCCTAGTATGTTTTCTTACATCTTTTTACTCGTCTTTACATTCTCTTTTTTTGATATTAAAAAGTCATACAACAATTAAGATAATAGTAAAGATTTCTTACTGCACTTATCAATTATCAAGTACTATTCTATCGTATCATCATCACCAGTATAAAAATATACATATATACTCTCAATCCCCCTTGATAATTTTCTTAAGAGGCAATATTTTTTGGTATCTAATATAAGTTGTGTAAAAAGTGTTGAACTATTTCATATTTCATAAAGATCAGTTAAATACGTATTAACAATATTATCATATACGAATAATCATATTAACTCGTATATAGAAATGTGTTTAATAAACTAATCACTTTCTACTTTGAGCGTTGTATTATAGATAATGTTAAGAAGAACCATACATTTGAAGTGTCCTAAAATATAAATATAACTTCTCACAAACTTTTCCGTTATTCTGTTATCTTCTATAATTTGTAGACCTTAGGTTTTATAATGTCATACGAAATATGCTATCTGTAATCAAGAAAACAATATTTTATGAATATCAAACAAAACGTTGGAACCGAACTTTAAGACAAGTAAAAGATAAAGTATATAAAATACTGTTCCACAAACAGATACATCGTTTAATATCGTTCTTTGAAAAAAAAGAAGAATAATTTGATTTTCTCGTTTTACGCTTTACAATTATACATTATATTCGAAATTAACAATTATTTAGACAGCTAAAACTTTATCAAAATGAATCTTAGTAAGCATGAAATGCAACAAAAATATTTGTTTGTTATTATAAATAATTTTTGGTTATCCAATCCTGTAACGTATTTAAGTAAATATAAATTACATAAAACAAAAGAAATACATTTAAAACATTAATTTAAATATAGTGCTTAAATTAGTGCTCGGTATATAAAGTACGCATTATAAGAAAATAACATAGGTTGGACATTATAATAATTTATAGGCAGTGTTTTATTATTTTCTTGATTACAAAAAAATACAATATTAAAAAAGATATATTTTTTTCAATAATATTTAATATCATATAGTGTAGGGGAACACACACTAATCCGAGCCTCATCACAGATCACAGATTATGTATGATATGTGAAGTATTTAAGATACTTATTGTTATTATATTTGATCTCTACTTTGATTACATTTTTAATAAAATCAGATTAATCCGAAAAAGTGTCTATACATTTTTCCGGATCCAGAAATGGTCATTACTTTTGTGAATTAATGTGTATCATTTTGTACGAATATACATACTTTATTCATCGTTTGAAATAATATAAATTTTGTCCTTGTATGCTGTGTTTTTCTTTTTTAGAGTCATAAATACGAAAAGTAAGTTACATGAAAGATAAAGTAAATTATTTTAAATTATGTAAAAGATTAAGATACGTACAATCACGGTAAAAAGTATTCGTACAACAATGAAATTCAACAAAAGATATCGTTCGTTAAGAAAATTTTAATAAATGAAGGATCCGCAGAATAATTTTCATGAAAGAAAAGACGGGATATCTATATCCCATATGAAAATATTAACAAATATCTAAAACAATGGCAAAAATATATGAGGAATAAGTATTCCTACAGTTACGGTTTAATGGGAAAAACTAATAAGACTCATTTATTACGCATATATTTCTACCATTTTTTAAATATTTGTTAATATTTTGACAAAGAATATAAATATTCCATCTTTTCTTTCATGAAAATTATTCTGCAGGTTCGTAAGAATATGTAAATATCCTTTATTTATTCAAATTTTCCTAATGATATTGTACAATATTCTGCAGGTTCGTAAGAATATGTAAATATCCTTTATTTATTCAAATTTTCCTAACGATATTGTGCAATATTTGTTTTTGAAATAAATTACTGTACGAATACTTTTTACGCTAATTGTATGTGGATTTTATAAGTGCATACATTTAATTGTATTTATATCTGCTTTCATCAAATAAATTCCTTAATAGAGAAACCCATCTTTTGCTCTAACAAAATAACAGAAAGGTTTCTCCAATAAGTAAAGTAAAATAATAATAGGATTAATTAAATTTGTAACTGCCTTGTTATTGAAACTTAATTTCACAATTATATCTAGAAACAATTTATATATTTTACCGATTTGAACAATTAAGATATCGATTAAAGAGACGCAGACCGACTCTTCTAAAAACATTTTTAATTACAAATAATGAACACGTAATTACGAATATAAAAGCGAGCATCACTGACTGTTCAAACAGCAGTACGGTTCGATTTCTCTGTGGTTATGGAAGTTATGGAACTGTAAACAGTTGGTATATACACATGTCTCTGCGTAGACGTAAACGTCTAGTACTTATCCAAGCTAGCGCGTATCTTATCATTTACCCAATCCGTCTTGTATTTGGTCGACACGTTAAGTTTGCAGTCTGCGATCGACTCCAAGGCACGAAAGAAACAAAGGATCGACGCCGTACGCTTGTCATTCCTATAGGAATCGTAACGTGAAAGTGGAAGCAGTATCTCGATGATGATCGATAAAATGTCACGTGGTAAAGCTGATAGAGGTTGGGCGTGGATAATAGTCATCGGCGTGACAATCATTAATGTGAGTTTCCCCAGTGAGTTTTCTGTTTTCCAGTCTCTTATACAAGCTATAGGCATAGAGACATCGCGTGCTCTGAATTGACTTACAAGATACATACATATGTACTTACTATGAGACATATTCCACACGCATGTGCTTTTGTTTAATTTTCAAAATATAAAACCGCAATGAAACAATATTATGGTTCATTTTATGTAATAATATTATTGATTTTGAAATTATACACTACCAACGTATCTACATTTACGGCTACATTTCATTCTATGCAAAATGATGATCATTATAAAAAGGATGTCAGATTCATTACAGCATCAATTGGAAGTGTAACGACACTAGTAGTTTTACCTGAAACCGTTGGAAATTTAAAAAATATCACCATTTTGTCAAAGATCAATTATTTTTCATGTATGTTACAAAGCTCGATATTTTAAACACCTTTTTTTTATACATATAACTGGTGATCGACCGTTTTTTTCGACCTTGGCTCTAGTTTTCAAACTAGATTGAGTTAGTAAGTTAATATAGTAGTGGTTAACCCGGTGTTGTAGCGCGCCATGAAGCGATCAGCCAGCGTTGTTTATATAAATGCCAATAAGGGAATTTACTGCGCTTGGCCGCCCCGTCGTGTTGTCAAATAGCCGATTTGTATTATAATACTAACTCAATCCAGAACTGAATTTGAAGACTAAGGCTGGGCAGCAGAATATTTTTCCGTATAAGCCAAAAACTAAGACCTTGTATGGTAAACAAACTTAACGGACTTGAAAGATTATACTAAAAGCAATTGTTTTGTCACTTCCTTTCTTTTGTGTTTATTTATATAGTAGATATCAATAGCGAGGATTAGTATGGAAGTATTGTACATATTGTATTGTATAGAAATATCTATATGATATAAAGTAAAAATACAGCATAAAATATATTGTATAAATATTCTGTGAAGTAGATTCATAAATTATTTATGATTATTTCCCCCCAAAAATTGTAACACATAAAATATTGATACATCTATGAAAAATTCATCATTTACGGTGATATTACTTAAACAAATGAAATAGCTTTTATAATTAAATAAAATTTAATTAAATTAAAATAATATTTAATAAATTGTAAACAATATAGTTATATGTAGAAAAATGTATGTTTACTTTGAACTATGTTCAACTATATTCTTCATAAACACTCCAAATAACATATTCTGTTACAAGCTCAAATATGAGCTCAGCTAAAATATAACATTACTAAAATAAATTTATGACATGTGAGGTGGATAAACTATTCAAGGACAGTAAACAAGAAGAAGGATATACTGTTTTTACACTTGAAATCTCAAATTATTCAATTATTCAATTAATCAATTTATTGTCTGTACTGTACAACTCAGCTTATTCTCCTTTCCTTTTTACTGTACACTAAATCATATTATTAATGCAAGAGAATATAAATGTATTTATCAATATTTAATTTGATATTAAATAAATTATATGCACACATTAGATTGTTAGATAATATCTAAGTATCAAGCTTGAACATTTATTAAACTGAGATATTGGTAAAACCGAATCTAGTCCATATTTATCAAACACGTGCAACAATTGTTATAAAAACCTGCTAAATTAACAGATTTTTGCATTTAATGTAAAGATTATACTGTTATATTGTAAAATAATTTTAAATGGCTTGAAACGATTTTATTTTACTACATATGTATGTGGGAGCACGGATACATGTCTAACTACTCGGTAAAAATGAATATGTTATAGCTGGCGGTACTTCCAATACAGCAAAGCTTCGGGCTAATCTTTAGGGAACGTTTTTTTTCACTCAATATAACCGCAACACAGACATCGTTAATTGTACATTTGAATGGTACCATTACAAGCAGTCTAGGTCTGATAAGCGGTCTAATGATGAAGAAATTCACGTTTCGAAAAGTTGCCTTTCTTGGTGGTCTTATCGTTGCCATTGGAATCTGTGCGACTGCATTCGCAGTCTCTCTCCCCGCCATTATTATCACTTATTGTATTATCGTCGGTGAGTAATCTCTACCGGATGTTTGTTTTTTTTTTTAATCCTAATAAAACAGCGCATTATTCTCCTGGTGTACTTGACTTTATATCTATGACGTTATATGTGAGAAATGAAAATGCAAGTAGACTAAAATAACATATTACTTTCGTATTATATGTTTGCAAAGAATAGAAACTATGTACATAATTAATATCAAAATTCTGTGAAAATCAATATAATGGTGAATTTGTTAGATAATAAGTAGTCAGAGATAGTAGTAATAGATAAGAAATATCTACACAATAAATACAGCTTGAAGAGTATTTAAGTTGAAACACTGTTGCAATGGACTCTAATATAATCATCTCTCTAACATAACTAAATTAGGTCTTTGAAACAAAAAATCATTAGTCTTTCCATTAACTTGTGAGAGAAATTAATGATGACTGATAGAAAAACACTTTGGGATAGTTTTTTAAAGAAGATACATTTGTAGTAAAATTTGAGATTAGTTTAATCGAAAAAAGTATATACGAATATATCTATCTTTTTAGTTTGAGTTTAGTTAAAATACAATGTTGCTTATACGCAATATCGAATGTGAAAAGATTAACATTTTTGTAGATGTTAAACGTTATTTTATTAAGCTAAAAGGTTCTGCCGAGAAACATAGACATTGATATTAAATCGTAATTTATAGGTATCGGTCATGGTATCATTTTTCCAGCCACGAATCTCGCGATGAACACTTATTTTCGGAAAAAACGAAATGTGGCTATGGGATTGTCAGTAACTTTAACTGGCCTTGGACCTATTTTGATGCCACTTCTAGTAGCAAAATTATTGGAAAATTATGCTACCACTGGGACTCTTTTGATTATCGCAGGTATAGCGATACATTCATTGATCGGGGCAGCACTATTGAAACCATTTCAGGAAAAAGAAGTGAGTTTAATAAGCGTATTAGAAGAATAATGTGTATGTGTTAAGAGGACACTGAACGATGTATTTAGTACTTGAAACTAGATTTTAATTTCTTAGCAACTATAGTAATTCACCTTTCACAATTAATTGAAATTTATATCGACTATTCACATCCTTTAAACTTATGTTTTAGTTTACTTCTTTGACAAAAGGTAGCTTAATATATAGTTGAATTAAATTATTCAAAAACATTGATAAAACGCTTGATATGAACTTTGTATATAAATTTAGGAATGACTTCTGGCATGCAAATATTACGTCTGAAAATGATTATCTCAAAATGTTTCCTTCTTTTTATCGATCATGCTTATCTACTTTATTATATTAGTATTGTGTATGCACTATCATTATTTAGTTGATACGAAATTTCATTTGATTTTATTGGGACTTTATATTATTATATATGTACACTGAATATTTTTTTCTGAAAGGACCACAAAAAAGACAGTAAATATAGGTACAAAACAAATAGGAAATAAAATTAAATAAATGATACATCATTGAATTATCATTTTGTTAACATATACGTATACGTTTCTATATACGTTTTGCATAAATCTTTTCTACTTCTTTATACAATTACATTATCAAACAGCAATAGTGCGTTCATAGCAATTTTAATACAATAAATTAAAAGCCTAATCTCCGCAGTCAGACGAATAAACATGAATTATTTGTAAAGTTACAAATAGTATTCATAACTTTATGCACTAATTTCGTACGTCCAACAGTTGTGTAAATAATAATCATGTACACATGTTTTTACAAATTAATAAGTTAAGTAATACATAACAATAATATATTGATAGACAAGTAACAAGATATTGACTATAGGTATGTATGTATATTCTATAAAAAATATTTTACGAAAATACTGGAGAATAGGTACAGAATAGTATTTTAATCTAGCTGTCTAAGATGTTATCTCTATGTATAATTGAAATCTAAAATTCTTATTTCTAACAAAATCTATTTAATAGTAGGCATATAGGCAGAGAAACAGGGTTGGTTTTTGTTTAAGTATATATTTTTCTGCAAACATTTTTATATGCATAATATATTTAAAATGAAACTTTCTGATTCTGATCGAGTTTACGAGAATATTTTATTATTCATGATTATCAAATATAATTCATTGATTATGATTGCTAGTAATTATTAAACTATGAATGTTTATGTAAGTTCTATTTTTATATACATAATTATAAAAATGTAATTTATACAAATATTTATTGCACACAATAAATACATATTATAATCAGTATTTTACTACTTTTCGTATAATAATTGCATAAATATCTGCTTGCTTATATATAGCCATAATACATCCTTTATTGTTCACTGTCTTCTTATTACATAGAGATAACAATGATTAACGTTCACGGTCAAGTTTAATTTGTAATAGATTACAAGTATAACAAAGGACAATGACATCACGGCATCTTCCGCAGAGAGCAATGAAAACAGGATACTGAAAGAAGTCAAAAGATTAAAAATTGAAAGCGTAACTGATGTCAAAAACGACGGTGCTAATTCTAAATTATTGAAAGAACGATTGGAACAAAATACGAGCAATTCTGAGCAGAATTTATCAGAAAATGTGAATAGCGAAAATAACATACGAGAGAAGAAGTCGATTTTGAGAGAAATAACACAGCATATGGATCTTGATCTTTTAAAGGATAGTCGTTATGTCGCCGTCATCCTAGGTAATACTGCTTAAAAAATTATTTGATAAATGTGGCCGTTTATCATTTATTAATTATTTTACAAGCTCATTCTATGCAATATGTAATAAGATAACATAAGAATTAAAAAAATAATTATTTCTTCCTCCAATCTTTTACTACATTGTGAAAGAGTTATATATCATTAAAGTTAATTTTTTCTTAAAGTTTTGATATTTTCTACAAATTTATATTATTCTCGATTATACGGAATTCGGACAAAATATTAGTGTAGCTCTAAGAGGATGAATTTATATAAAAATTGACCCGAAAATATAGAGTAGTATCTTTTCGCACAAAGCTTTATTTTTTAATAAATCAATGTTGAAGATTGATCAAGTACGCGTATGCTTAGGTACGTACTTATACATCATCTCAAAAATTTTTAAATAAATAATTAGTTTTAAATATAATTTATTACAAAATAAATTTTATTTCATATTTTTTTAATTTATTTCATTTTTATCTCCATCATTTCACTTTTATTTTTCTATGAATGGGACCTTCGTTGTAACTGAGTCGATAATCTCAGACTACAAAAAGGTTTAATTCGGTCCTGATCTCACTTATGTCTACGTTTAACAGACATCATCGCAATTCTCCTGACTCATTGCAATACATAGTAAGAGATAAAAGACCGAACAAAAGTTTTTATTCAAGAATTTTTTATTCTTATTCCACAGTCCTTTCTATTTTCTTACTTTTCTTTTTATAAATATTTGTCCAGTTCTTATAATAGGAAGATGACAATTCATTATCGATTGTTTTACGCAGTCATAACGATAGAATGACAAAGACTCGGAGTCTGAATTGGGAACGATAACAAGTTATAAGACTGTTGATGTTTATAAATGTAAACGTAACTAGCACAAGTCTAGAGCATATTCAAATGTAAGCATATTCGATAAATCTTTAGCATTAATCTAATCAGAAGGCTGTCGTTCCGTCATTTATATTTTTAATTACACCGATTCGGAAACATCCTGTACACGCGTATTGTACAAATCTTCAAAATCGATTTTCTTGAAAAATAAAAGCAACAGAATTTTATCTTAATCTGCTCGTTTATCTTCGCCGATTTATCTTCTCTGCACGTAAGAACATAATCTAGTCGATTGACCACGTTATACGGGACTCTTTGTATATAAAGAATATAAAATATACATGCATAATAAATTCTCCACCATTATCGCATTTTATTTACGACAGGTATGGGAGTGTCTTTAGTCGCTGAAACAAACTTCAACATTATGATTCCTTTCGTCCTAACCGAACTTTCTGGTCTTGAAAGGGACTCGATCGCAACCATAATGTCTATCCAAGCTGTGTCAGATATTACCGGACGTCTTTGCATTCCACTCCTTGCGCACAAAGCTGGTTGGACGTCCAGGAACCTTTACGTGTTGTCTTTAATAGGATCCACCATTGGAAGGACCAGTACGTAAAGCAACGTAAAATATTCGAAAATGAGAAATCGACCCCTTCATGGCAACGAATATACGATCTGCTGGGTGGGTTGATTTCAGGTTTCTGATAATCTGCATAGAACCAATAGAAGTTACGAATATTGGTTTTACCGAAGCATTTATGAAGGAATTATTTTATTTTTCTGTTGATAAGACTTTGATAATATTTTATTGATGTTTTCATTGATGTTAATATTTTATATATGTTTCTTCTTGTACTATATATAAAAATTTTATTTCATAAATCTCTATGACATTAGAACTTACATCTTGTTGGTCAGTTCATACGGAGGGTGTCTTAACTTTTTTCGCAAAACATTGTCAGCTTATTCTATGAGTAAAAATATAATAAGTGACAAATATCATATAAACATAGATTCATAAGTGCTTTAGTAAAACGTTATAATGAAAATACCAAATGACAATGAATCGATTTTTCATTTAGATATGATGGTTAAATGAGCATTACCCACAATAGATATCATTCTATGAAATTCATTTTTTTATTTCGTCCTATGTCAATAAATAAATCGCTTATTCTTATCAGTTTAATATGCCCATTTTGTTAAGCTCTTATATAAAAGTCTGCTAATTTCAGTAAGTAACTTTCCTTTTTATCTTGGTGCTGTTATATTGTTTTATCTTCTTTTTATCTTTCTTTTACTTTTTTCTATTTAATCTAGTTTCAGACGATCTATAATACATACGTACGTATGTTCATCAATACATTTTTTCTTACTTTATATATAAAACATATTTACCAGGTTTGACCGTAAAAAACTGCGCCAGCATATATATAACAAAAAAGGTAAAGCAGAATAAAATATTTATGACTGCCAACATATGAATAAAATTCAATATTTGCAAAGAATAGATATTAATTTACGAAAAATATTAATATTAATTTAAGGCAAATTTATAAGTTAAAATAGATAAATAATAGTCGTATAAATATACAAAATATTTACATATACCAATCTGTATATGTAGACACATAAATAAGTAAGACAAATAAATAAATAGTACATTAATAAAATTGTATTAATTGAACAATTAGCAAATAACATTTTATAAAAGAAATTCAGAACTAATAACGTTAATTCCAGTATTATCAACGTGGGGCAGTACGTACATTGTGGTAATCGGCGTTGCATTAATTATTGGAATTGCTAAAGGAATGAAAGCTGTCTTCCAAACGCTAATAATTCCTGACTATGTATCTCTTGACAGACTTCCAGCTGCCTATGGGATGCAAATGGTTTGCAATGGTATATTATCTATTGCAATAGGCCCATTAATAGGTAAAGAACTATGTTCAATTTCCTTATTTTATATTTATTTTTTAATACTTTTTTATTGTTCACAATCGCATCAACTAGTACAATACGCTGTTAGCGACTTTGTCCATTCCTACCTTTATTAATTAATTTACCTTTCACAGATTCACTTTTTTGTCTGATTAAAAATTATAATTGCTACTATTGCCTGGTAATTTTTTATGCATATCCCTGCTCTTTAGAAACTTGTTTTGTTATTTTATTACTATTTCAATTATTACTTTTCGTTATCATCAGAGATCTTTCTTTTGTGCAATACGCGACTACCATATAAATAAACAAATTGTAGCTTCATTCATAATGAAAGTAAACGAAACTTACGAAATTAATTTTAATTTTAGACAGAAAATAAACGGAATAAAACTGGCAAATAAGTTTACGCCGAATCTTGTCTCACCTGATTTCATTCTTCTTGTGCTTTTCTTTCGCATTTTCTCATTTTGACCCACATTTTATGCCTCACCTCGATTCGCTTAGCGCGTTTTCAGTGTGTAAATCTCAATGTGCTAAATACTTTTGCTTTGCTGTGTATATAAAAATATAAAAAAGATTATTAAATTTTTACATCTTAAATATATAGAGTACACTCCTTATTGGCTATCCTTCGTACGATGGAAAGTTCAGAAATGCATCACACACGAATAAAAATATAAATAAATATATCAAAGAGTAACATATGAATACTTATACAACTCGGCTACACAAAATGCTTGACTTCCAATTTCAATCAACTATTATCCCCATACATTTTCAATACGATATAAATGTGTAGTCTGACAAATGTTTTCGTAAATACTAAAGGCAACTCATATTTTTCAACTAAACGATATTATGTGCACCTTTTTTCTCATTTTCGCGTATTGCATATAACCAATAATGATTGAAAATATTTAGATTTCCATAGCTCTATGCTCCTGTATATGAAACGCAAACTATATATATATTTATAATCATCGAATGATTATCAAAAATAAAATGCACAATCTTTGCAATACATTATACGACACATTACACAATTACTTTCATTATAAAATATTAATACATTTTTTCTTAAAAATTATGTGAAATACAAAGCAAAATACATCGTGTAATACAGTTTATTATATTATTAAATTTTTAAAGCTAGATACAGTATGTGACCGATGGAATGGATAGAATTTATTGAATAAAATACATATGTACAAATATTAGTATCATACTGCATCTAGAATACTTATTAATGCAACTAGAAAAATAAGCTTCTGAATTATTATTAATTTTTTTGTTTTAATATTTAAGGTTTAGTACATGATCAAATGATGAGCTACGTAGGCGCACTCCATTTCACATCAATTTTAAGTTTATCTTGTGTTGTTTTATGGTACATGGGAGGACTTTGGACATTTAATAAAAGCATTAAAAAACATAGCGCAAGAGAAGAAATGTCTCAAACACAAGAAAATTTCCCTGAATGTAATGCATAATCATTTGTTATATACAATTGAATCGATTATAAACAGAATTTCAATCGGGAGAAAAAGTTGAACAAAATTTAACAAAATTTTTAATAAAATAAAATGGTTAAGTATCTTCCACGAATATGATGTAAAATTTAGGCTTCGTGATTTCGAAGCATAATATGGAACATTGGAATCGGAATAATATTGCAAGGTTTAGAAAGAGAATGTTATTAGTATTAAATGTTTATGTTCAACGACGTGCTATTTAATATTAAGTTATTAAATCAAGCTATCTACGACTGATTCTTATATAATGTTAAAGACTCCTCGAGTGATGAAAAACTTAAATTATTTAATAGAGTATATGTGTAAAATATAGTTTTATGATATATTACAGTTTTGTAATAAAGCCATATAAGAGACAAATTGATTAACTCTGTTAGAATTTCTCGTTTAATTTCTGAAAAATTGGACGTTATCCATCTGATAAAATCTAGTACTAAAATTGAAAATCTTTGGGAAAACGATGTTTATCACTTTGTCTTTTGAATGGCTGAATTAATAATATCACATAATGTTGTCATAAAATAGTTATTTTATTTTGCTATCAAATTTTATGCTGTACGGAGCTACGTAAAAACTCAAAAGAAGAGAAAAATAAACAGTACAATGTTTGCAAATACTCTATATTTCTTAAACTTCTTATTTTATTTTCCTTTACAATTTCAAGATTACGAAAAGATTATAGAAGTTCTACATTTTATCACTGTATAAGACATCATTTTTTTATTTACTAATTTAATTAGAATCTAATTTCACAAGAATAATAAACATAAAAAATTAAACTTAGAATTTTTAAAAGAATAAGAAGAACGTTCCCTTTACTATTATTGAATGTTTAAGTATAAGTATAGGATACAGAAAAAACTATGTTAATCGCGATTTAATTACTATTTTAAAAGATTTTTTCTGTATTACATAAATCTTCTATTAAAAAAGATAATCCGATAGTAAGCATGTAATTTTAATTAATCAATTGCAACCACATTATTATTAATTTGTGATTACTATTTGAAATATTTACACCGAATTTAAAAATAAAATAAAGGGATGGAATAGGAGAACTGTACTTTAAAGCCATACGCGCGATTTACTTAATTAAGTTTAGTCAGAAAATATTTATTTTTATTACCTGTATTCTGTAATATTTTTGTTGCATTAGAAAATCTCTAATTTTTTCATATATTAAAAATAACTTTCCTAAATTAATGATTTTAAATCATAGCAATTCCGTTTTTTAAAAACAACAATTACAAATTATAATTAAAATTTTGCTAAATTATGTTTATCCTCAACATCTAAATTCCTGTTTCGAAATGATACAAACCAATGTCGAAATGTTTCATTTCAACGCTTATTATAATTTATTTACGCGAGAAAAAGCAAAGAAAAAATGGAAGGAAAGACCGAAAGGATCTTAAGGTGATTCTTTTATTTTGTTTATATACAAGAAAGCTATAATGAAATAAATATTATGTTGATGATTATCATTGTGGTTTACAAATTTAGACATAAAATTTTTGTGCTATTTTAAACGTTAGCACTTAAAGAAAGAAGGTGATTGACAAATATATTTTTTATCCATTTATTTAAAGAAGCTTTATGTAATTATATAAATAATATATCATGATAATAATAATTATCATCGGCTAGATTTATACATAATAATAAATTTGCGAACTAGCATATGTAACATTCTTACTTTGATACCTCTACTTGATATTGTTCGTAATGATTCGTACGATTATTTAACAATAAATACTTTAAATTATAAATTGAAATTATATCAATAAAAACTGATATGACATCAAAGGTAAACCTGTGTTGTTTCGGAATTTATGATTTTCGATATTGAGTTTTCCACGATTACAGTTATTTTATTAGCGCGCGTTTCTGCCGACTTCATGTAATACCGCTAATGAGACTTCATAGCGTTATCAGAAATCGTAACGTAATCAGAAATCGCTGAAGTCCGTGCGTGCTCGTATGTGTACGCGACGAGCAGCTTTCTTTTCTACTGCTAGGTGAAGATGCAAGAACCAGTATCTGCGTTCACTAGCGGCCGCGGCAAACTGGTATTTTGCCAACTAGTAATCGGGCGAAACGATGCTCCAATAATCCAATGCTATCCACCTAACGGAATAGTACAGTATAATACTATTACCTTAAGGCTATCGAAGGCATTAAAGATGCATCTTTTAACAGTAAAAAGTAGGAACGTGAGCAAGTAAGCAAGTGAACACACGTAAAACATTTATGCTGGAGTTGCATGGCATCCGTGGAAAATCTATGAGTACATACTGTTCATGATTTTTTGCTTAACAAATTGCTACAAATTACATATTATTTTGTATACTCAGTTATCATGCTGTTGACAAACATGAGTTTAATCTTGAAGGAATAATTTTAGAGTTATACTTCATAGTTTTTCAGGGAATCCTGTATGCTATATAATATAACTATATAACTTTAATTTTTTTATAATCGCCGAGTGGAAAATATAGAAGTAAAAAATGTCCCATTTTAACACTATTTTATCACGATTACTATATATTATACCACGCTGTTTGTAAGACTTACTTATTTTTCTTATTATAGTAAATAAATATTTATATCTATGATTTATTATGAATATAAAAATATAACGAATACATTTATTTATTTATTACAAAGATGTTTGTTTGTCAAATTAGTTATTTTAGTAAGTTATATTAATAAACAATATTTAAGAACTTATTAAATCTATATGACTTTTCCATACGATTAAATCCACACACAGTAAAATACTATAGAAGAACCGCTAAATTATACAAAATTGTCTAAATTGTATGGTAACTTAGAATCGCAGTTTTTCATTTTTTCTTTTTTTCTTGCGTTGTTCTCAGTTTAAATAAAAATAAGTAATGCAAAAAAAAGAAATAGAAATCTACTCGTTATATTAATGTAAAACATAAGAGTTTACTAAAAGAATGCTGCTAATATCAGTTACAACTGCTTATGTTGTGTATGTTTCTTGAAATCGAATACAAGTTATCGAGTGGATTATCGTAACACATCCATACATACATATATATATGCGGTAACGAAAGCGTTGCATCTTTAGTTGCGTCTTTGAATGGTCGGTGCCTCCGCATCACATAAAAGCAAAAAAATGCAGTGAAAGAGATTCCAAGTGACAGTGGTTACGAGGTCAGTGGAACACGCAGAAAGTTTCGTTGGAAGCGTTAAACAGCATTTACGACCATACTCCGCAGATTTTTTTCCTTGTAAATAAACAAAGTGAACAAGGAATAACCACGAAATGACAGAAATTTCAAACAGAACTTTTTTACAGGTGTAGCAATTGTACAGCATTATCTTTTATACTTTTTCATTATACATGTTAGTACTTTGTTTTATTGTTAGAGAATAGTATATTTTACATGTAAAAATTAAATAAGATTTCTATCAATTTCAAATAAACTCTGATATAATGTTACTTCAATTTCATATAACAAAATAAGATATAACAAATAAGACTGAAGCGTTAAGTTTAATAAGCATTAATTATTTAATTATTATCAATAAATAACATTGGTATAAAGGGAGCTATCCATTTCTCTGTAAGTAATCATGGACTGGATCAGTATAAACAAACAAAAATGTAAATATTCAAATTATTTATCATTGTGAATATACAATTAACTATCTAACGTACCAATCAATATAAACGAGCTGGAGTAATAATCGTTATTAATTAAAGGTGAAGAAAATATACTGCAATAAAATCAATTATCAGTAAAGTTCTTAGATAGATAGATAGATTCTTTTAGAAAGCTGTTAACTGTTTTCATAACAAACGTTAATTGTCAATTTTGCCAAACAAACGAGCATCGTAATGTTTTATGTGAGAAACGAATTAGCAAGATTTTAACCAAGCTCTAACATGGGCAATATGATAAGTAGGTTAAAATAAGTAAATACCTAGTTGTCTATATGATCTTTTTTAAAAAATACATATGTATGTTAGGAATATTTACGATACTATTTTATTTCCTTGATAGCTACTTTTCGTCTTTCACGTATTGAGCAAACATAATTTGTTGGATTCTTTTCCACTCTATTACACATTTCGCATCTACATATCGACAAAAGACGAATCCGTGAATTTTACGAACTGACTAATACCGAGCTCTACTTTAATTACGTGCATTTCCCCTATACGAATGTTACACATAGTTGTATGTACAGTTGAAATGAATCTCACGTAAGGTTTGAAATACCTAATAAAGGAAGAAACAATTGTCATGGGGGTAAAGGCGTTTAGAAATAGAAAAAATGTCTGGAATCTCAAATTAGAAATTCGAAAAGAGAAGAGACGTGAAGTCAGAGAGGGACGCACGATAGCACGATCCATTAACCTTCCTCAAACTGATCGCGAGCCAAAAGATAATGCTAAAGAGAAAGGATATAGTGACATGTCCGAAATCCCACGCAAACGGTGGCCCAGAGCGAAAGAAAGAAAAAGCTAGTAGTACCACAGATTCGCAAAAACGATTAAGTAGCCGATATTGCGCCAGATTTCACCAGTTTCGAACAATATATATAGCTATTTCTGATGATCGCCTAGAACAATATTCCTCGATGTGAAGCGAACAATCCACGAGAGAGCAATTTTTAATATCTTTGGATCAATTAGAAAATTATGTTGCATTCGTGACCTGCATCAGTGATAGAAAGTTAAAAGATCATCATTGTTTTATACGCTAACAGGCGCTTCATTCAATACAACATCTTTATATGTTATTAGTTTTCTAACTACCCAAAGGATGCGCTACTATTAATTAAATAAAATGAACATTTTGTCACAATTCTATTAGGACCATATAACAATTTGGGACATAAACGACCTTTTGTATTCTCCAAATTTATATTTATTGAAAGCAGTCAAATTAAAAACGATTTAACCTTACGCCCCTTTCTTTCTTCTTTACTTGACCTATCAACATTATACGCCGATACTTTTGTAGAATTTGGTTGACTGTTATATTATGGGTGGGATGAAAGCCTTTGAGGTATTGCGGTGGTGCATAATTAAGAACGATCGGGAAGAAGCACTGCGCTAAGGCTAAAGGCACGAGATACGCGCTATTAGCTACCTTTCTCCTAATTGACCGAGCAAGAGGTCTGTTGCGCCAGCGCCTAGGAGGGCCCTTGCTACGTCACTGCGGGGCCCCGTGACACACATCAATGGGCCGAAATGTAACGGTACCCTCCGCGGTGACCTACTCACCGGGTGACGCGCGCTCTCTCTTCCCCGTTCCTTCCTCCTTCCTTCTCGTGTCTTCTCTCTTCCTTGCACCCTTTCTCTGTTCGCCTCTATCTCGGTTGCTTCTCGGTCAAGCGAGCGTCGAACGC